ATAGGGGATTGTTCTTCCCAAAGACCTCATCTTAGTTTTACTGTAACCTCTCTGTTTTTATAGAATATTTTGTTTAAAACAGATGGTTATTTTTGTGTGCAGGTTCACAAGATGACCAATAAAACATCATTTTGGTTATTTGTTCTTATTGCTTTATTGGCTGCTGTTCACATGACCACCTTTTGTAAAAGCCAACATTTTATTGAAGTCTGATATACATACACAAAAGGGCATAAATTGTGAGTGTATATAGCTCAATGAATTTTTGCAAAGTGAACACACCCATTGCTTGTATTCAAGAAACAGAACATTACCAGTACCCCAGAAGCCTTGTGCCACCTTCTGGTCAATACCCCCAAAGCAGAACCCAAATTATAACACCATAGATTAGTTTTATCTGTTTGTGAACTTAATATAAATGGAATAATAAGTATATACTTTTGTGTGGCTTCTTTTGCTTAAAATTATGTTTGACAGCTTCACTCATACTGTTGATTGTAGCTATAGTTCTCTCATTCTCACTGATGTGTAGCATTCAATTGTGTGAATATGCCACAATTTATTTGTCCATTTTACTGTTGATGGACATTTGTGTAGTTTTTCATTTTTGGATAATTAGTTATGAACATTTTTGTAATGTCTTTTGGTAACTGTTCACATTTTTTTTAATGTATAACAGAGTGGAAATACTGTGCCTTAATATAGGCATACATCACTTTAAGTAGATAACTACCAAACAGTTTTCCAAAATGGTATACCACTTTACACTCCACTGAAGCTACGAGTTTTAGTTGTTCCATGACCTCACCAACATTTGGTATTTGGGTTTTTTTTGGGGGGGGGGGGTGGTTGTGGCATATAGATTGGTAAACCCCAACTCAAACTAACCATGACCTATTACTTTAAGCATTTTCGGAATTCTCTAATACTTGGGGGGGGGGGTTGTTGTAGTCATAAGGACGTTTATCCGTCAGGTCTTAAGCATAAATGTATGGTATCTCGTTGCAGTTCTAATTTGCATTTCCCTGATGATAATTAAAATTGAACACTTTTTCTCATGTTTGTTCGTCTTTGGGTATCTTTTTTTATGAAGTTCCTGTTAAGTCTCTTGCCCATTTCTCTGTTGTATTATCTGATTTCTTTTTCCTTATTGATTTGTAGGAATTCTTTATATATTCTAGATAAAAGTCCTTTGTTATATATGTGTATTATAGATATCATCTTTTGCTCTATAGCTTGCCTTTTTACTCTCTTAATTATGTCTTCTGATAAGTTATTAATTTTAAAGTAGTCGAATTTAACAAAAAATTTTCATTTATGTTTAGTGCTTCTTTGTGTCCTGCTAGAAAAATCTTTGCCTGCCTCCAAGGTTATAAGTTTATTTTGCTGTTTTCTTCCAAATGTGTTTTGTTTTATCTTTCATATTAGCTCTCCAATCCATCTGTAATTAATATTTGTGTAGGGTGTGAGATAGAAGGTTAAGATTCCTTATTTTCCATATGGATATCCAATTAACACTGCAGTGCTGTGTCATCTCTATTATAAATTTGTGACTTCCATGTGTGAGTCTGTTCTGGGCTCACTCTTCTGTTCCATTACAACTTTTTTTTTTTAAGGAAAGTGGTATTTGTGTGGGAAGTTTTTGAGATGAAGGAATTCTAGAGTTAAGAGGAATTACTTTGTTCAACGTAACCTAGGAAGCAGTATTAGGGCATTTATCCTTTAACTAGAAGAATATTATCAGTAATAGAGCCAAGCTTAGGTATCACAACCTCTTAATTTCAAACATACAGAGGGTTGTTTATCTCTAAATTGTTTTGACTATACATGCTAATTAATAAATGATGTTTGAAAATATATATATATAATTATAGATATAGAGATTCTATAATGTATACTGTATATAGATATATAATAAATTATATAAATATACATATATATAATATAAATTATCTGTACCTATATATAGATTTTATAATGTATACTATATATAAATATATATTGTAAATTCTACGTATCTATATATAATACACGTTTATTACTGTGCTAATATGTTATTTTCATTATAACACACATACAAAATTGGAATTAAAAAGGAAATCATAAGGAAGAAATAGAAATTTTAATACTTTCTTCTTACATCCCTGTGTCAGCCAATATGGGCTGGATTATGTGTACTAACAACCCTCAAATTTCAGTGTTTATTGTTCATAAACAATATGAGTTTATTTCTCTCATGCTACACGTCCATTATGGTTTGGCTTTAACACTCCTCTGCATTGTTCTTACTCTGGCACCCAGGCTGATGGAGCAGCCACTTTCTGGAAGCTTGCTAGTCCCAGGGACAGAGGGAAACATAATGGGGAATTAGCACTTAAAGCTTCTGCCTAGATGTGACACATGTCACTTCAGCTCACATTTCATTGTCCAGAACAAGTTACGTGTCCTCACCTAATTGCAAAGAAGAAAAATGCTAACCTTGTGCCCAGGAAAAAAATCCTATGCAAAGAACTGTGCAGGAGGAGACCTAGAGTATTTTAGACAGTACTAAAAACTATCACCTCTGAAATGACTGATTTCAGAGCACACAGCCCTGGATTTGTGTTTGTCTAAGAAAATGAACACACAAAGACAAGTCCTTTTAGTTTTTCCATTCCATGTTGTTTTTAAAACCCTACAGTCCTGAGAAATGAGTCTCCTACAACTATACGCACAGTGGTATCTTTTGCTTAAAACCCTTCAGTGGTGTCTCTGTACTCATACAACCCAGACACTAAACGGCCTGCAAGCCTACCTTTCAGGCCTCATCTCGCACCACTCACCCCATACCTAAGCTATACTGCATTTCAGTTCCTTGAAGGAGACAGGCGACATGCTCCTACTTCTGTCTTGAGTGTGTTTCCTCCCTTTCTCCTTGTTTTTACCTGCTTTAACTGTTAGATCAGACATTTCCTGCAGGAAGTCCTCTGTGACTCCAGGGTAGATAGAGTCCTCTCTTTTCTACAGTCTCATAATACTCTGTACTTTGCTTCTAGAGAAGCTGTTCCAGTTTATAAAATACACTTTTGCACTAATTTTTCAATCTGTTTCTCCAATTAGTGTGCAAGCTCCAAGTCTGTTTTGCTCACCACTATATGCTACACCTTGTGTTTAGCCTAGTTACTGGCATATAATAGGATGTCATTAAAGACTGAGTTTGGTTATAGTCTTATGTCTGTGACATTTATGTAGTCTATATAGAGAATGTCTGAGACATTTATACAGTCCATAGTGAACGATTTAATAATAAGTTAATCACAAACAAACTTCAAATACACTCTTGCTCCATGCCTCTATATCTTGGGAAGTCTAAGAGATTCCAGAGAAGGAATAATTTTCCCATTCTCTGTGGATTAGAATATACCCTCACTTAAATTTTCACGTTGTGTTTTTCCTTTTCCCACTTCTAGAGTGATATTTTTACATTAAAGCTGAAAGCCTTACAGTTAGGGGGTATATCACATTTAACATAAATGGCAGTAAATCTACCCAAGTAATGAGTGTATTATATAGACATAGTGAATAAAATAAGCTGTGTGGTATTTAGCTAGGTTTTCCTCTAACTTTCTGAAGATGGTACTGAATTACCAAAATACAGTGTGATTTATTTTTTGTGATACTTTGCATCAGCAAAAGGGCATATGATATTTGGAAAATGCTTACCTACAAACTCATGGCCCTCACTATTTGTCTTCATTTACATGTGTTGTAGAAAACCTTAGTCTTTCCTGTTTCTCTTTTCAGAAAGAATAACAAATTTGATCACCTTCTTATTTATATGTTTCATTGTGGACTATCGGTTCTATTCTGCATTTAAAATGCAAATGTTCTAATAGAGATATCTCCCATAATGATAATCTTATGGGTGGGATTGATAGGATGATACAGACATGGTTATCTCTAAGCCTCTGATAGTTGTTTTCCCCATTTTTATTCTAGAAGAGAACCATGGCTTCCCATCAATAAGAAGTAAGATTAAAAGGATCATGAATAAGGATTATATTTGCAGAACCTGTCTATTTATTCAACAAATGTTTATGAAGTATCTAGTTTGTGCCAGAAGTTGGGGAAACTCAGAAAGAGATGGACACTTCGTATATAGCTTTAAATTTTTGCTTTCAACAATAACATTTTGATAAGAGCTGAGCTTCAGTATTTTGCTGGCTGTGTCAGTTTTCTCACCTATAGAAAGGAGACGATAAAAACCCATCTCATAAAGTTCTGTGAGGAGTAAATAAGATAGTGCACATAAAGCACTTATCCCAGTGCCTGACCTAGAGTAAGCGCTCAGTATGTGTTAGCTGTTATTTACTGTGAGGCTTTGTCCACAGTGAGCTTCTTAACTATTTCTTTTCCTGTGCTTCTTCCTGCTATTTTTCCCATGTTGCCCTCAGAAGTGAATTTCTAAAACGTACATCTTATTGCATATCACGGCTGCTTTGGTACCATCTCTGCTGTCTCAAGAAGAAAGTCTCAAATACAGGAATGGCATTTGGCGCCTTACCATCTGACCCTGACCTTTCTTACCAAACTGGCTTCTACCTTGGCAGCTTACTGGGTTGCAGCCCAAAAAGGCCACACAAGTTGTAGTCCGCTGCCTTGGCTTATGCTCTTTCTTCTGCCTAGAATTCCTGCT